GAGGGTGGGGATCGTTATCTGAAACCACCTATAAGGGTTTGTTTGTTTTTTTTTTAATTAAACTAAAAATTCGGTTTGGTTGCCTGCGCGTGCAACTGTGGGTGCGTTGTTTTTACAGACCCTTGGAAAACGCGACTTTGTAAGTTTTCGTGGTGTGGAATGGTTAAACTTACCGGTGGAAAGCTTAAAGTAATAAAGAAGAAGGAAAAAAGAAAGAGTTAACGGCTTAAATGTCTTATGCTTTCAGGCTGAATAAACTTGAAGTGATTCTGGGGTTCCTTTATGAGTAATGAGCTCAAGGCTGATTTATGTATTTCCTTACAGTGGCTCTCAGACAGGAAGAAAAGAGCTTTACAGAAGAAAGATGTGGGTGAGTTTTCCAGTGACTGGGCCCTCAGTAATACTCAGCTGCACATACACACGTCCGGAGAAAAGCACTTTACTGCCCAGTGCAGGGAAGTTATACATAGCTTGTGTTTTAAAAACTACAAAATTAGAGCTGTAAATAGCCACGTGCTGTGTTGCTGCATGTGAACAGAATATTGCCAATGTTGTTTTACATTTCAGATGATAAATATTGGAATTGGAGATTATACAGAAACATAATGGATGAATTCCATGTGTGGCTTATGATAAAGTCTCACTGAGTGCAGGAACATCATAATCTTAGCCTAAATTTGTTGTACAAAATAAAAGTGGTTGTTTACGTACCATAGGAAGTGGTGTATGAGAAACTCAACCAACAAAAAAAAATCCATGGAGTTAACAGAGAGATGGAGTACATTATACAACACCTTAATTGTGTAAAATGTGATGAATATTTTCTACTGTATTATATAATTTGTTACACAGAATAAATACTTGTTTTGCACAGAGGTAGCCTGCTTCTCAGAGTTAACAAACTGTATTAACCTGCTTATAATATGTTAGTTATACTTGGATCTTTATACTTTAAAAGATATTCCCTATGTTCATTTATCTCAACATACTTCCGTGAGATGCTGTTACAGGGGTTTTTTTGATGGATAAAATTGCACAACCTTTACAAAATATCTTTTTTCTTTATAGATATCCGTAGAAGAATTGAACTTATTCAAGACTTTGAAATGCCCACGGTTAGCACAAAGATTAAGGTATCAAGAGATGGACAGTATATTATGGCAGTTGGTGAGTCAACAAAGTGTCTCGCTGTAGCAGAGACCAAAAGCACTGGAAAATCTTGATTGCAGAAGAATTTAGTATTTTGGGTGGAATTGATAGGAGTTCGTATTAAATGAAAGCTCAGTATGTGATAGAGTGGCTGTCTTGGTAGTGGTACTGTGAAACACTTCTTTTTAGAATACAGATGTTCTTAAAATCAAGAATGGCTTGGAAGGAACACTTGAAGATCATCTAGTCCAACCCCACTGACCCCGGGGGTTTATAATATAAATAAAACCTAACCTGTTTATAATAGTTTAAAAGTACTTAATTATTTTTATTATATGTATGTAAATGTGCTTTAAATAACTTGTGAGCATCGTTGTCTGTGTGTTGTTTTAAAGGATGGATGGTAATGCTGCGTTTTGTAACTGTCAAAGCAGGATCCAAACTTGAATACTGTAGTAGGCTTTAAGAGCAAGGAGACTTGGTCTTTCAGACTTACATCACAGAGAATTTAATAATATCTTCACTATGTGGTAATCAGAAGAACCTGCTTACAAGTAGGGTGCTTTCAGGTACCAAAGACAAAAAGCAGGCCATAAGGTTACGTTGTTAAGAGGCGTATTTTTCCAGTCACAGAGACTTTGCTAAGATCAGAATTCTTATATAGACTTTACTGCATTTCAGCTGTATGTAACGCGTTGTATTTAAAAAAAGAAAAGCATTAATGTTACTTTTTATTTAACTTTTTAGTTATAGATCAAATTATTCTTTCAGGAACTTACAAGCCACGGATCCGCTGTTTTGATACCTATCAGTTATCCCAGAAATTTGAACGGTGCTTAGATTCTGAAGGTTAGTATAAGCTATGGCTGTTAGTACAAGATGTCTTTCATACTTAATTAAGGTTGGACTGGAGTAGAAATTTCCCTCCTTGCACTGAGGGGACAGAACATACTTTAAGAGAATGCAGGAAATTGGAGTAAGACTTCACCTTCTCTTTATCCCTCCCCCTTTTTTCCTCTCCTCTTTTCCTCTTCCTTTGAAGTGCTTTCCTCTCTTGGAGAGGTGTGAGGAATGTAAGATTTATCTTGAGCCAGTAAGCGTGGGGCTGAAGTTTGCACTTAGGGAGATGCCATGTGGGTGCAGTGGCCAGATCTCACTTCTTTCCCCGTCTGGGAAGCAGCAAGGTAGGAGAACCTGCTGTGGTTGCGCTATTGGTACTGAAATGAGTTCTTGCTGTTTTCTTGCTGGAGCCCAAGCTCTGTAGGTGAGTTACAGCGTAAAGAGAATTCCCAGAGAGTGATTTGTTGGTTTCGTTTGTGCTGTTTTTCCTGGAAACAAAGTTTTTTAGGGATAGATGGTGGTATGGCCAAGGCCTCGATTACAACTTGTTTGCTACTAATTTGGAGGGAGAACAGCTATGATGAGGAAAGCAAGGAGCCATCCAGACAGAAAGGGAGAACGTGCCAGCAGTCAGACTAGGGGAGGTGGTCAGAGCTGCTGTGGCTCTGAGTTTTACAGTTCATGGATTTGGGGAATGCTTCTTTTGTTTTGGTGGGGTTTTTTTACTAGAAGCCTGAGATTATTAGAAGACTGGTTGAGCACTGGGATATAGGGGTGTTTAAAGCAGTGAGGGGATGAGCATAGAGTGGCAGAAGTCCTAAATCATTGTGGAAGTGTGTGATGTGTGTGAAAGCTATGTGAAAAGTGAAAATTGAGACCTACTGAGTTAGGTCAGGAAAAGGGATGTCAAGGATGGTGGTGTTTCTTTACCCTGTGCCTCAGAGCCACGAGGAGTTACACAGAGTGAGGAGACAGTGCTACAGCGTAGTAAGAGGGGAAGTGGTAGGTTCAGAGAGGCTGAGGAGAGGAGGGTGTGGCAAGAGAGACACCTGCTTTGAAAGAGTAGGACTCATAATAGTAAATGCTTACTGTTAATAAGAGCTTAAAGGAATTTTTTTTTTTAACTGGCATCTTACTAGACTGTGAAAGTATGTTTAATTTGAAATGTAGCATAGAGTCACTTCAGGTAACTTCAAATGAGCTACCTCCTTTAAATGAAACCAATTTAGCTGAAGCAGCTACTCCCTAACGTTCCCAACCCAGCTCATTTAAAAGTAGGCAAAGTTCAATACATTGTAGTGTTCAGTGTGAGCAGTACATTTCAAATTTGTGAATTATTTTTTTTTTTTGAGTCTTAAGACTTTTTTCAGTTGAACTACTGACCTCTTAGAAGGATTGCTTGTTCAGGTTTGCATGTAGTATGCCCAGACTCATGTAATTTTTTTTTAATCATCATTGGAGTACCAAAGGTCTGTGGACCACACACTCACTGAAAACCATTTGGTTAGATCTTGCCCAAACCAATAAATACGTGGCTGAGCGCTGTGATGAGGAACGTGTCAAATAACAAGAATGATAAAGATTATGAGATGCTTCATATGTTTCTAAAGTTTTAGAAAACTACTTACTATTTTGCAAATAATGTTACATAATTAAAGATTTTATCACAGTGCCTGCATTATGCATTGACACCTGTGGGGAATACTTATATGACTGAAGGTTAGCATGAGTGTAAATATTTTCAGGATTTATGCCAATGTTTGCAAATAAGTTTGCTAACTTAGTTGACCTAAAATTCTCTTTCTCTCTCCTAGTGATTACATTTGAGATTTTATCAGATGATTACTCAAAGGTATGTTTCATGTTTTCAATGTATAAATTAAAAATTTGTTTAATATGTATATTAATGCATTTTCATATATAGTAAAGGCAGTCGATCAACACAACTTTTGGAACATAAAAGCTTTTTTTAAAAGAGCAAACAGGATAAACATTTCGTACCTTCAAAATGTTGTTTTCTTTTGTCTCTTTGTATTATAACTTGCTGTACCACTTTAAAGTCTTTTGTCTGTAGTAGGGAAAAACTTAAAATAGTGAGTTATGCTACAGACAAAATGTGAAAAATGGAATTAGTTATTCCTACTAGGATACTATTTAGTCACAATTCCTTGTGATAAGTGACATGCAGATGGACCGTTTTTGAGAGGTGGGATAGCTATAAGTAAGTTAGTATCTGGATTTGTCAGTGGTGTTGTAGCCATAATCTCATGAACGGGGCAAAAATTTTAGAGAGTAATGTCTTATTCTTATTTTCTTTTTAAAAAAAATTATTTTATGAAGTGGCGTATCTGGAGGAATTGAGCTCTTAGGACCATCAGCCCTTTTTTAGGCCCAGTAGATTTACCACTTCTAATTCGGTTTAACACCTGGCTGTTTTCTTCAGCTCCAGCAGCTACTATAGTAAAAGATATTACCTCTTCATGTAAACTTTGCTGATTCACCAAATCATATTTGAGTTTTAAACAAATAATTTTGCTGATTTCATTAGGACAAGCCATTTTTAAAGTATCTTTTTCCTGACATCAGACCTCAGCATTTCCAGTACAGGTTTATTCTAATAAATATTTCTGTTTGATCAGGGACATTATCATCTAGCCTTGTAGCTTTAATCTTTTCAAAATTTTTCCCCTGTGAGATTTCCAAGAATGTGTGTGAGTTCTAGTAGCAGAAGGCAACAGCTGATACAGTACAGCAGCAGCCTTTGACTTGTCTGTCTGTGGGAGAGTGTTTCTGGTTGCACAGATGAAACGGTTATTTACGAGACTGAGGAACACATTGTGTTCACAAATATGTTCCTGACGGGGTGTAAACAGTAGGGCTTGTTTGTGTTTTCAGCTGAAATTGGCACTATATTCCAGTCTGAAGCCCTACTTTCATAACTTAATACAACCTTATTTTCAGTTTTATTTTCCTAAAGCTTACCAAATCATTAAGAAGAAAAACTAATTTCAGGTAGCTGTCATAATGCTTTGAGCATGTTAGAAAAGGAATTTGAGAAATAATGCTTGGAATCGTAAAAATATGGGCTGTAAGGAGACCTTCAGATGTCGTTTAATGCTTGAACAGTACTGTCACAAGCTACAAGCGTGGTGGTTCCACAAATTCACTGAATAAATAGTGCAGCATTGCAACAACCTTATAGAGAAATTTCTTTTCCTGCTCAGGAAAACCTGGAATTTTTGCTGCTGCAACTGCAAATATTTTAATTTTTGTAACTGCATTTTAATTGCTGGCTGCTACTGCGTTGTTCTGCAGGGTGCTCTTTGTCTTACTGAGAGCTGAGGTTCTTCCAACCTTTTCTTGTATGTTTTCAGTTCTCCCTGTTGCCTGTCTTGGTAGCCCTCTTGCTGCCCTCAACATCTCTCTTGAATTGGCGGGTCTGACGTGAGACACGCTGCCTCCTGCTTTAGTAGTGCAGGGAAAACAACTTCTACCGTCTCCTCCCACAACCGCCCTAAGGTGACGTTTGGAGGGTTATTTACACTTGCACAGTGAGAGCTCACTGTTGGCTTTCATTTGTATTGGCCTGGTTACCTCCGTGTGCTCTCCGAAGTTGTGGACTTGTCTGTGTATCAGAATTAGGAGAGAGCAATAGCTTTTTTTCCTATGGGTGTGCTGGCTGAACAGGAGCCAGCAGTGTGGCCAAGGCGGCCAATGGCATCCTGGCATGTATCAGGAAGTGTGGCCAGCAGGAGAAGGGAGGTGACTGTGCCCCGTACTTGACGCTGGTGAGGCCACAGCTTTTGAGTATTGGGCTCAGTTTTGGGCGCCGCAGTGTAAGAAGGACATTGAGGTGCTGGAATGGATCCGGAGGAGGGCAGTGAAGCTGATGAGGGGTCTGGAGAACAAGTCTTATGGGAGAGGCTGAGGGAGCTGGGATTGTTCAGCCTGGAGAAAAGAAGGCTGAAGGGAGACCTTGCTCTCTACAACTACCTGAAAGGAGATTGCAGTTAGGTGGGTGTTGGCCTCTTCTCCCAAGTAACAATATGACAAGACAAAATGGCCTAAAGCGGGACCAGGGGAGGTTTAGATTGGATATTAGGAAAAAATTCTTTACCTAAAAAGTGATGATGCATTGGAACAGGCTGCCCAGGGAAGTGGTGGAGTCGCCATCCCTAGAGGTGTCCAAAAAACGTGTAGACATGGCACTTTGGGGCATGGTTTAGTGGTCATTGTGATATTGGGTTGACAGTTGGACTAGGTGATCTTAGAGGTCTTTTGCAACCTTAACGATTCTATGTTATTTTTTTACGTTTTCCTGCTTACTATTTTTACCACACGCCAGTGTTGCTACCCTGAGGTTGTAGTTTCCTGGCAGTGACTGAAATTAATTTAGTGTGAAGGAGAGACAAATATGATGTACAGTTAGTAGTATCCCCTCTTAACGAAAGAAGACACAAATATATGTTTAAATCCAATATTGCAGAAATTTATCTTAAAATAGGAAATTATTAGAGGTAAGGCAGTCATTAGTGGAATATTTGGTTACTTTTGGCAACTATCAAAACTTTCTGAAATCTTTTTGGAGATAGAATGGATAAGAAGAAAATTCACTTTTCTCATGGAAAACAAATTGCATCTTCTCTATTCCTGGTAACAGGTTTTTGATAGCTTACTGGTAGCAAACTCATAGGACATGATATTGATGTTTATTCAAATTCAGTAAAGTTTAATTTTGTGTTCTTAGAGTTTATTTAGCTTCTGCATTGCATGAAGATGCAGTAATTTCTTTTGCAACAATAATAGAGAAAAGATTTGATCTGAGCGTTGTTTCAAGCAGATGAGTAAAGAGCTTTCCTTGTTGTAAACCTCCAATTAAAAGCATAAAGGTATTTGACACACAAAGGATTGATTTTTATGTATATGAAAAATGCCATTGTATAATATCAACTGAGTGGCTGCATCTGTAATCTCCTATGAAATTGTAGTTAGGCTTCTTGAAGATGATACTCTGCTTGGTCCTGGACCAAGAAGAGCGGGTCCCTGAAAAAAAGTTGAAACACTAAGGGTTCTGATATTAGAAAAAGCATAAATTAGGAGGGACTTAATGATAAATAGGCATGAAATACTAGCCCAGATGGGTACTTTATCCATGTCTGGTAAGGGAAGAATATACAGATATATAAATGAAGATGACAGATTCAAAATAACTTTGCCTTTCCTGAGCTTCTCATCTTTACTTGTGTCACTAGCAATATAGCCTAGCAGTAGGAAATGTAAAATTTTCATTATCTACTACTTTTAGATGCATGGACTATCCATACTCTAAACTAAATTTTCCTCATGTAAGCTAAATAGGAATGAAGCTTAGAGTCAGCAGTTAGCCTGTAGATTTTATGTGTAATTATTTGTTTGCAAGCATCACAGCATGAGTATGGGCCACGGCAGCTTCGTCACACAGTGCCTGGGTGTCGTTTGAGGTACGATGGGTTTGAGGTACATCATAAGTGTAACCATCAGACTATAGGGGCAGGTTCTGGTTTATTTTATTTGCTAATGCAGATCTCTCCTTCGAGTAATGCCTCTCTGGGGACTCTTTTAGGACTGAGATGCCTGTCAGAGAGAATGCCGTGGTTGTTTGCTTGGCAAACAACAAAAAAAAAGCAAAGATCGTTGGTGTCATTTATTGCTGTGCATCAGGCTGTATACTTCATGTGCTTCGTACCTATGAACCTGTTGGCATTTGCATGGCATTATACCTGGAAGAAATTATTAACTCTGGTGTCTGGAAGTGTTAATTTTACAGGTGTAAATTTTGGTGCAGCACAACAGTGCTACAACTCTACCGCTTCTGGTTGCAGAGTCACTTTCAGGGTGTCACAGGTACTCTTCTGAATATTCATTTAGTGATTATTAATAAAACTCTTTGCTGTGGCTAGTGTGAACAATGGACTAGCTGATTCTATCATTTTAATAGAAACGGTTCAAATGAATTGTGATAAACCTGTGTGAGCTTGAAAAAAAATTGTCGGAGTTTGTGCTGTAAGACAAGTGGAGGAGATTGTCATCTGCTTTTGCATATTTCAGTGCTTTCTGTTTTATTTTCAGATTGTCTTCTTGCAGTGTGGCAGGTTTGTGGAGTTTCATTCGCAACACGGCCATTACTACAAGACAAGAATACCAAAATTTGGTAGAGATTTCTCTTACCACTATCCGTCATGTGACCTATATTTTGTAGGAGCAAGGTACTAAGTGGATCATTTTGTTGTTTTCCAAGCATAAAATGAACTTTAAAATACCAGAAAAATTAAAATTTGGGAGAAGTTGCAATTCTGTACAAGTTATTAATGGTGGCTCTTGGTGGAGAGTGGAAAGTGGGTAAAAATGTTTCCTGTACTTTTTAAGACTTTTTTTTTCCATTGATTCCTAAACCAAGTATGTCACATACTTCCAAATTCATTATAAAAATCGCAATTCATCATACTGTTTTAAAAACTGATTAGCATCTAAGTAAGGAAAATTAAATAACTTTTTCTGTCTTAGTTGCTGTTTTGTTGCTGTTAAAGTGTGAGTTGAATCACATGAAATAATTGAGTTTGTGAGAAGATGTAGTAAAAATAAACCCAGGAGGTCTTTAGGGTTTCAAACGAAATAAGCAGCAATTCGGGTTGTAAAGTGAATTATAGACAATAAGATTTTTAAGAGAGGAATTAATGCATCTTTTCCCCGGAAAAAGAATAATTAGGATGATATTGCAGTGTAATAAATATCTTTGATGAACTGTATTTTTTTAACACTGAAGGCTAGATGCCCTTTACGTTGTAGAATTTGAAGTCCGCAAATTGTATGTTTGGTAAAATTAGGCTGTTAGCAAGAATCTTTATAACGCCTCCTGATTTATAATGGTATTTTTTTGTATTTGTAAGAGAGGATTAATTTTGGATTTTTCTGTTGTAGTTCTGAAGTGTACAGGCTAAATCTGGAACAAGGAAGGTTTCTCAACTCCCTGCAAACTGACGCTTCGTAAGTTATCTACGTGTGGGTGGCATCTGTGCCTTTTTCCACCAGGTGGAAGCAAACTACTAGGATGCTCACCGTCAGTTCTGTGTCTGAATACTGCCCAAATGCCTTGAGTTGAAAAGGAACATATGCTGAGTCTGAGCCTCATTTTATTTTCTGTAATTCTTTGTTCTAGTTTTTGTTTTAATTGAGTTTTCTTTTGTGAATATTTTAACATTGCTTAATATAGACTTGTAATAGGTATTATATAACTTGATCTTAAGAGCATTTCATTAAAACTTTGCCATTATTGCACAATTTAGCCATCATATAGAGATCTACCCACAGGGTATGTACTTTCCCAGACATGTCTTTGTCCTTCTGCTCTTGGAGTAGCCCAAAGAGAATTTTTGTATCTCCAGCATGTGTCTGATCCTTTTGAAAGCCCTACCAGAGCAGGAGCTGGTTGTCTTTTATGTGGGGAGAAGCAACTGAGAACAGACTTGACTAGATAAAGTGTCTGGTTGGTGGGCAACAGCTGGTGCTCAGTGGGTAGGATAAGCTTAATGAGCGAAGCAATATCTGGGAAGGCACAATACAGAAACTGAGCAGCAGGAGGGGGAAAAAAAAGGGGAGGAGGTGGAGAGGAATCCTAGAGTGGGAGAGCTAAGGGTGTAAAATCTGAATTAGAGATGTGAGGCTTGAAGTTGTGAGGAAGGTTGTGAGGTGGGGGAGTTGCGTGAGTTACAGAACTAGAGGTGGAAGGCTTTTGAGTGGAAGAAGTTAGAAAGCACCAGGATGAGTGATGTAAAGAGAAACATTTGTACTTTGGAGGAATTGTTGGAGAAATACAGGGGTCTTGGGTGCCCTATTGAGAACTTATTATGAGATTATTAAACTTGCTCCTTTTTCTGTTTCAGGGAGAGTAATGCCTGTGACATAAATCCTGTACACTTCTTGTTTGCTATGGGGACAGCTGAGGTAAATGTTTGTCCTTTTTATGAAAAGGACTGTAGTGTTTGTTTCTTTTTTTTATATTTGTTTGCATGAGGATAAGAAGAAATTGTGACAAGGGCCTAATAAGTTAATTTGATCTCATTTGCTATATTATGTATAGATCTGTTAATGTGACTTTTCAGAGCATAGTGCAGATAAAATTTCTGAGTTGTCTTGGTTGCTGAGTTGCTTGAAATTCTGCAGATGCTAGAGAAAATAATCTTATCTTGCTTTATTATACAGCCATCTGTAGAAATTAGCTAGCACGGGTACCCTATTAATCTTTGGAAATTTAGCGTTAATGATTTTGATTTAGACAGTGTTTTAAAAAAATGTAAATGAAATATCTGGAGCTCCCGTGCCATTATTGGAACAGCTCAGTCAACCTAAGAAATTTGATGAACTATTCATAGATTAAGTAATGCTTAATTTTATTTAAACATTTTGGGAATACCAGACAGCTGTTGCATAAGCCTGAAGCATGTTTGCTAAACTCTTTAGGGTAAAGTGGAATGCTGGGATCCCAGAACTAGAAATCGAGTTGGGTTATTGGACTGTGCTTTAAGCAGCGTGACAGCCGACACAGAGTGAGTAAAGGCTACTGTATCCTCTTCTGTTCTGTTCAGAAGTTTTGCTTTTAGAAACAAGTCCCACTTTGCATTTAAAGGACCTGCTCATGGTTTTCTCTTCTCATTGCCAGGGTGAATAAAGGGTTTTCTTAGTCACAAAGGGATCTCTTTGTTATTGATCAGAGTTGTAGTGGCTAATTTTCTATACAGCCATAAATAGTGAATGTAGCCAATGCAGCTTTTTGAAGTAATATTTCTGACTGATATTTGTAAATTAATTTACATTATCTTAGCTATTTTTAACATTAAAAAACTTATTTCAAGTCTTTGTTGAAAGAATGTCTAACGATAACCATTGTGCTTTGCAGGATAGAGAGTTTACCATCCATTTCAGCACTGAAATTTGACGGAGCTTTGAATATGGCCGTTGGAACATCTACTGGGCAGGTAGACTTAACTTCATCTATGACAGTTTGTAGGAGATCCTGCTCTTGCAGTTGCTAGTGCAAGTCTCTAATACATCAAGTACACTTACTGTAATGCAAATATATATTAATATGAGCACTTATAAAAGCATAAATTACATCTATAGAGCAGTGATAGTCATTCTTAAACTGTAAATTAATTTTGTGAGGTAGTCTTTCTCTTCAGATTGCTGCAGGGACCACTTAAAATCATCACAACCTACATGTTAATGTGACTTCAAATTCTGCAGTTCTCTTGTTTTATTTAAGAGTCAGGTATGCAGGAAATTTTTGCTTTTTGAGACTATCAGTAACATCTCAATGCAACATATATGCTCTCCCATATCTTGATGGTGGTTAAAGAATCAGAAGTGATTGTCTTTCAACTGTTGTTTTTACTGTCTTTCTGTAAGGGATCGTTTCAATTCATTTGGTGATTCACAGAATCGTAGAATACTTTGGGTTGTAAAGGACCTTGACAGGTCATCTGGTCCTACCCCCTGCAGTGAGAAGGGACATATTCAACTAGATCAAGTTGCTCAAAGCCTTGTCCAACCTGACCTTGAATGCTTCTAGAGATGGGGCATCTACCACGTCTCCTGGCAGCCTCTTCAAGTGTTTCACCATCCTTGTTGTAAAAACTTTCTTCCTTATGTCTAGTCTAAATTTACCCTCTTCTAGCATAAAGCCATTGCCTCTTGTCTTACCACAACAGGCCCTGAAAGACTGACCTCATCTTTTTGGTAAACAGACTCGAAGCACTGAAAGGCTGCAATAAAGTCTCCCTGGAGCCTTCTCCAGGCTGAACAACCCCAACTCTCAGCCTGTCCTCGTAGGAGAGGTGTTCTGTCCCTCTGATTGTTTTTGTGGCCCTTCTCTCGACCTGCTCCAACAGGTCCATGTTTTTCCTGTGCTGAGGACTTCATAGCTGAACACAGCACTGCAGATGAGGTTTCACCAGAGCAGAGGGACAAAATCACCTCTCTTAACTTACTGGCCACACAAATTTGATGCAGCCCAGGATATGGTTAGCCGCCTGGGCTGCAAGTGCACATTGCTTGCTCATGTTCATGTGTTGTCCACCAGCACCCTGAGTCCTTCTCTGCAGGGCTGCTCTTAATCCCTTCATTCCCCAGCCTGTACTGATACCAGGTGCAGGACCTTGCCCTTGGCCTTGTTGAACCTCAGGAGATTCTCACAGGCCCCCTTCTTGAGCTTGTCCAGATTCTTCTGGAGATGTCCTGTCCCTCAGGTGTGTCAATGGCACCACTTCTCCAGGCTGAACAACCCCAACTCTCAGCCTGTCCTCGTAGGAGAGGTGTTCTGTCCCTCTGATTGTTTTTGTGGCCCTTCTCTCGACCTGCTCCAACAGGTCCATGTTTTTCCTGTGCTGAGGACTTCATAGCTGAACACAGCACTGCAGATGAGGTTTCACCAGAGCAGAGGGACAAAATCACCTCTCTTAACTTACTGGCCACACAAATTTGATGCAGCCCAGGATATGGTTAGCCGCCTGGGCTGCAAGTGCACATTGCTTGCTCATGTTCATGTGTTGTCCACCAGCACCCTGAGTCCTTCTCTGCAGGGCTGCTCTTAATCCCTTCATTCCCCAGCCTGTACTGATACCAGGTGCAGGACCTTGCCCTTGGCCTTGTTGAACCTCAGGAGATTCTCACAGGCCCCCTTCTTGAGCTTGTCCAGATTCTTCTGGAGATGTCCTGTCCCTCAGGTGTGTCAATGGCACCACTTATCCTTTCTGCAAACTTGCTGAGGGTACATTTGATCTCACTGTCTGTGTTGTTGATGGAGATGGTCCATCAATCAACAGCACTGGTCCCAACACAGGCTCTTGAGGGACACCACTTGTCACCCATCTCCATCTAGACATTGAGCTGCTGACCTTTGACCTCTGGATGTAACCATCCAAGCAGTTTCTCATCCATTGAACAGTCCAACCATCAAATCCTTTCTCTAATTTAGAGAGAAGGACATTGTGAGGGGCCGTGCCAAAGGCGTTTCAGAAGTCCAGACAGATGACATCCGTAGCTCTTCCCTTGACCACTGACGTGGTCACTGCATTGTGGAAAGCCACTGGGTTGGTCAGGCAGGAGTTGCCCTTGGTGAAGCGATGCTGGCTGTCTTCGTATCACCTTCCTGTGCTCCCTGTGCCTTAGCAGAGCTTTTAGGAGGATCTGTTCCATGATCTTTCCAGGCACGGAGGTGAGGCTGACAGATCCTTAGATGCCAGGGTCCTGCTTTGCACACTTTTAGAAAATGTCTTTATATATTTTTTAAAAAATTGTTGCCATTATATTTGTAAAGTGGAGTGCGGGGATTTTTTTTCTGCCTTTGTCAGTCTTTTCATTAGTTTAGAGAAATGCAGCTCGTTCAAGAGCAGATGCATATTTGAGAGTTGCATTTGCGATGATGTTAGCGTATATATCAGGCAAGTTTTTCTGGAGACTGTATTTTTTAATTACACTGTTAATTTTTTTTTGCACAGACTTACTAGTTTTCATGCTTTGTTTGCAGAAGATTTATCCTCAAAGTTTCCTACAGAACTTGAAAAACACCTTAAAAATGCAGGTCTCTGGAAGTGAGGGACTGTACGAGAGTACAGCCCTTAACATAAGCACTGTCCTTAACATAAAAGATTACGTTCTGCAGTGTTCCAGTGAGTGAAAGTGATACTCACCTAATGTGAAAGGTAGTCTGAACACTTAAATCCTGTAAGAAGAGTTCAAGAATCTGAAAGGTCTTAAGGAATAATTCAATAGAATTTAAAAATACTTCAGAAAGGTGTCGAGTTCTTAAGTTTGCTCTTAGTTTTTCTAGACCACAGCATGCAGAGGTGAGAATATATTGCCAGAATAAACTGGGGTCCGTTAATAACCTGTTTTCAGAATTTAAAATGCTTTCTTTAATGTAAATCCTGTCTGTGTTTTTAACTAAACTTGAATTTTTTTTTTTACTTCAATCTGGTGTGTGTGGCTTCCTCTTTATCTTGCAATATTGTAAGTTTAATCTGTCTCTTGTTCCGCCAGGTATTACTTTATGATCTCCGGTCTAGTAATCCATTAATAGTCAAAGATCACCACTATGGCCTGCCTATCAAGTCCATTCAGTTTCAGCACCAGCTGGATTTAATTATCTCTGCAGATTCTCGAATCATAAAAATGTGGAACAAAGATACGGTGAGGAGTTTTGTGTTGCCACATTCAGATATTTTTTTAATTCTTACTTTCTTTTTGTGTTATTTTCATGCAGCTTTAATAATTAAGCTGAGATTCTGTGTAGGAAGTTGAGTTTTTTAATGTGCCCGTCTGACTAAATAAACCAGCATCTGGGAAGTTATTCAACAGCCTGTCACGTTAAATATATAGTCTTGGGTATTTTATTTCACTGTTCGTACATGTCTGCTTAAGATGCTTCTTTTGGTGGAAGGTTTTAAATATAAAAAGCAGTATCCTAGCCATTGCCCTGATTTGTGTATTTCTCACGGGGTGCTCGAACACATCCAGTTGCAATTTTTCATCAGAGAAAACATGGTTGTTCCAGTTTCTTGCTCAAAGAAGAGCTAACTTCAAAGGTAGATCAGTTAGTTTATGTCCTATTAAAATTAGGTGCTGATTATTTTCACAGAAATCGACGTGGGTATTGAAGCAGATCCTGTGCCTAGATCCAAATGTGTATTATGCTCTATTAATGGATTATGTTCCAGTAGGCAGCGTCTTTACCCCCCACCTCTTGCACCTCTTAAGTGAAATTGGAATCTCTTAATTTTCCCAACACGTTTTTTCATTATATTATGCTGTTCTTTTTCATTCTGTCAATGAAACTTAAATAAAATACGCTACCCCCATAGACTCACAGTAATACTATCTTTAGTTGTTGTCTTCCTTATTAAAAATATGCTCCATCTATGTTTTTCTAGCTTTATAGTGAAACATATCAAGAGCAGTTGTAGTAATTTAGAGGCAGGTTTTTCTCGATTTCAGTCAGTCATTTCTCTATTATTGTGCTTCTTCATGAACTTTCAACAGTCTCTTATTTTTTTCTGTGATCGCAAGCAGTTTTTCATAAGCTCCTCTGCAGTGATTTCTTTTCTTAAGTTATTTCAAAGAGCAAATAAATTATTGGTTATTTTTTAAAACATCTGCAGTGGCCTCTCTCCATTTTTCCTAGGTATATACATTTCCCTCATTGAGAATGAAATCCTGTTAAGCTTTCTCAGGTGGCCTCTGCAGTGGGAAAAGGGAGGGTTTCTTACCACTGGAAGGCAAAGATAGCTTTGGCCTCTTTCCTAAAGTATGTTCCAGCTGGCTCCACCTCTCCCAGATGTTGGTTCCTGACTATCTCTGGCTGGGAACCAACTGCAGAGGCAGACTCTGGGGTGGAGAGCACATGGCTTTGATACCAGAATAGCCCCATGCTGAGACGTGCCTTGGGGTGGGGAGCAGGAGGCTTTTGTCTGCTAAGACCAGGGTGGGGGAGGACTCTTATTAATCATCAGGAGGGAGACCAGAGGTGGGTGGGGTAACAGCATGTTAACTGGGAGGGAAAGGAAGGGCCCAGAAAGGTAGGTGGGATTGCTGCAGGGAAAGAAGAAAGAGGAATAGGATCAAAATTTGCTCTGTTCCTGTCCCTCATTTAGAACCGTGTAGGCATGTACTCTCATGCTTTAGATTGTGGCCCAGTTCTTAGAGACTCTTGCTTTACTGGCTGTCTTGTGTGTTGGCTTATAAGAGCACCTGTATTTTGTCTGGGTTTTTCCAACTCTGTTCCAATTCTCATTTTTTGGAGAATGTTGTTTCCTGCTTTTACCTCTTTCTTAAATAACCTTTATAATTTCAGTTCTGATCTAAGCTAGATACCACTGGATGCATTTACTGCTCTTATTTTATGTTTCAGCCTCTTTAATACCAAGTCTATAAATTATAAATGAAGTACTGAGCTATATTTCATTTCAGGTAGACATAAGCAGGGTGGAAGAACCAAACTCTAGAATCAAATTCCGTTCCCAGTCCATCGTTTCAGCTAATGATACGTAGCCAAAATACAGTTATTTAAAACAACCACGTTTGGAGTTGAACAAAATGAAGGTTACAGTGTCAGTGTGCCAGGAACTTAGGGACCTCACCCCCGCTCTTGCATGAAGAAAGTAAATCCGACACATATATTTTCAACACAGAAGTCTGAGCTGAGAAATTAGAGGTGCCACTGTATATTGCTGTGTCTTCTGTAGCTGGTAGGCTACACTTCTTTATGAGACATCACATCAGAGACACAATATAGTATTGAGTTGCTTGTGTTTTGTTGAGATTTAATAACGTTTTATTGGTCTGCAAAATCTGTTCCATCTTTATTCCGTAGTATTTCGTAGCTTCTATAATGACTCTTTCTAATGTTTAGATTCACTAAATTTAATTATATTGTTCGGAGTTTTTTATAATTCAGTTTCTGCCTGCAATTTCAGGGGAAGATATTTACTTCAATGGAGCCAGAACATGATATCAACGATGTCTGCCTGTATCCAAATTCAGGTATGTTAAATATATTAGTGTCTTTTTAAGTTGAAGCAGGAAAGCCTGTGTGAACACAAGCTGTGATCTTTTTCTCTTTAGGTGATATGAATTTGATTTGCTTTCCTCCTTATGACAGAGCTAGGAAAGAATGGTTACTTGTCAGTTGGTGTCATTGTTTCCTCTCCATCTGTATTAAGTCTGAGCCTCTTTGCAGTTAGACGCTGCTCTGTTGTCAATTGAGTGATTGACCTCTTTTGCTCTTTCAAATATCCGAAGTGTTTCATTTCATAGGAATAGGAATTTTGGCCTTTTGTCTTGGCTGAATCCCAGATAAGTTAGAGCTTGCTTTCTAGAGCTAGGAGAAATCTCTTTACAGCAAGTTTACAAATTTTTACAAGTGTTTACAAGTACTTGATCTTTCCTTTTTACTGTGCCCTCCCTTAGATTAAGTACTTTAGTTTTAAGTGTAGGTTGCTAAGTGCACAGATTTGCATGCTTTTTGTGACTGATTTCAAATTTGTGCATCTCATAAATTTAGAGGTCAAAACTGGGAGTCACTTTTAACCAATGTTTCCAGATCCTACCGTAAGAGTGAAAATACTTACGAAGTGTTGGTTGTATGTGCATGTGTGCTTTGGTTGTACCTCAGATTGCACTTTGCCTTAATTTTCCCTGCTTGATCTGAATTGCTTCGTTCTTAACTGCTATGTGACACCTATTTCCTGTCCTAGAAAGCAATACTGAAAAAGATGAAATGAAAGTTAGGGCTGCTAGGATGGCACAGGGCAAAACTCTTGATCTAGAGAATGGCTGTGGTGCCAGTTCTACTGTTATCTTAATTTTAGAGAGAAGTAGCAGTGAAAACAAAGTGACTTGGGCTTTGACTTACACTAGCAGCTCAAACTCAAGGTCATAAGTAAGTGAGTTTTAGATTTCTAATAAGTTAAAACTTATCTTGTCCTTTCTACCAGTTTTGGTTAAGAATCTGTCTTTTATTTTTTATTTTTGTTCCTTTTCTAAGATGAGCACTTATTGATCCCTACTGAGCTGGTGGGCATTTTTTCACTTTATGCAGCAGCAAAACTGTGATGGTTGAGGACCTTGCTGATGAAAATATTAACTCACTTCAGTGCTGTTCAGGTTTAGCCTCCTCTAAAATAAAATTAAATTTCGCTGCTTAGGAATTGGGCTAGGTTTTTCTAAGCCTTCAAAAAGACATTGATACCGCTCTTATTTCTGTTCCATGTATTTGTTTTTCTCAGATCATACTGCAAGAAATAATGTAGGCAGAGAATTGAAGGCTGCCAAAACTTAATGGCATGGCACTGAGGGAACGCCTTGTGTGCCCTGGTTGTATGTAGGAGTTCATTTGGTTGTATTTGAGAATAACTGCATTGTAACAGTGTGAACTGTGCAACAGGGAAGTAGACAAGCCTGATTTTCTACAGAGAGAGGTCACTGGAGTGAATTATTTTTAGCATTTTCTCCAGGGTTCACCATTGAGTTTACTGATTTGATCCAGAAGAGAACCCAGGAGTAAATTAAGATCCATGCAGCACTGATGCTGTTGTGTCAGCTTTATTCAAAGTAGGAGATATTTATTTAATTGGACACAAATGTTGTGCTGTATATCTTGTTTGAATAGTAGGGATGTGGTTTACTAGTGGACTTGGCGGAGTTACATTAATGGTTGGACTTGATGATCTTACTTTTTCAACCTAAACAATTCTGTGATAGTGAAGGGCTCCTGACAGGGAGTGGAACAGAAGTTACTTGGCAATGTAGAATCTTACCATAATTTCGATTGGAATAGAGGTCGTATGCATCCTTCTCAGACCAGGGCCAAACTTGAAGTTAGATGCAATTTCAAAGTCCTGCCAGGTTGCTCAGGTCATAACCAGTCAAGTTTGAATATCTACAAGGATGGATGTTACTCAGCTACAGATGCTTTATAGCCTCCCTGTTATGTAGACGTGCCTCAAGTGCTTTTGCAGAAATGATTTTTGTGAGACTGCAGGAAAAATATTGCAGCACAAAAAATGCACATTCCTCACATCTCCTCAATGTTGCTCGTTGGACATTACTTTTTCATGTTTCTGTGATCCAGATCTGTATCAGTCCTGTCTCCTCTCCTCCGGTCATTTCTTCATTATATTTTTCCTTTGATCATGTCTGCAGGGAGGTGGGTTGATGTTTTTGGACAAGAACTGTTATGGAATGAAAACTCGGTTGAATTTTGTAATCCTATAGAGACAGAGGGGAAGAACTGGAATATGAGATTCAAAGCAAGAGGTGGTGCATTGCATGTTTGTCATAGATACCGTTGCTCTAGAATTTAAGATGCTTAGCATCACCTCATTCTCATTCAGAATTTCAGGAATAATAGTCACTAAACATCTGAAAATAAGGAAATAATTTCAGTAATATGAGCTTGTGGTTATGGAAAGCTGGGAGTATCATTTAGGTACGAGTGCTGACCAAGTGCTCTCATTGATGCCCCAGCATTCTCAGAGCACCATTCATGAAGGCAGCATGGCACAGGAAATGCAAGAGCTTGTATAAGACATTCTGAAATATTTCTGAAGTAGGGACTGCATCAGGGGTCAAGGGAAGAGCTATGAAAGTCATCTATCTGGCCTTCTGTAAGGACTTCACAACATCTTTCTCTCTAAATTGGAGAGAGATGGATTTGATGGGTGGACTGTTCAGTGGATGAGGAACTAGTTGGATGGTCACATCCAGAGGTTAGTGATCAGCAGCTCGATGTCTAGATGGAGATGGGTGACAAGGGATGTCTCTCAGGAGTCTGTACTGAGACCAGTGCTGTTTAAATATCTCCATCAATGACACATCAAGTGCACCCTCAGCACGTTTGCAAATGACACCAGGATGAGTGGTGTGGTTGTCACAGCTGAGGGACAGGATGCCACCCCGAGCGACCTGGACAAGCTTGAGCAGGGGGTGCGTGAGAACCTCCTGAGGTTGAACAAGGTTAAGGGCAAGGTCCTGCACATGGATCAGGGCAATCCCTGGTGTCAGTACAGGCTGGGAGATGAGTGGATTGAGAGCAGTCCTGCAGAGAAGGACTTGAGGGTGCTGGCGAATGAAACATGAACACGGGCTGGCGCTTGTATTCCAGAAGGCCAACTGTATCTTGGGCTGCATTGAAAGAAACATGGCCTGGAAGTCACGGGAGGTGATTCTCCACCTCAACTCTGCTCTGGCGAGACCTGAAAGGAGGTTGTAGAGAGACAGGGGTTGGTCTGTTCTTCCTGGTGGAGAATGATAGGACAAGGGGAAATGGATTTAAATTGTGCCAGGGGAGGTTCAGGTTGGATATTAGGAAGAATTTCTATACTGAAGGGGTTGTCAGCCATTGGAACAGGCTGGCCAGGGGGGGGGGTGGTGGGGCACCCTCCCAGGGAGGTGGTTGTTGAGTCACCGTCCCTGGAGGTGTTTAAGAGACAGGTGGATGTTGCGTGGAGGGGAATCGTTTAGTAGGTTGATAGGGCTGGGACAAAGGCTGGACTCGATGATCTTCTAGGTCTCTTCCAGCTGATACAATTCTATGATTCTATGACCTCACCTGCAGTCCTGTGTCCAGCTCTGGGACCCCCAACAAAAGAAGGACGTGGAGTGGATCTAGAGGAGGCACAAAAATGATCAAAGGGCTGGAGCACCCCTGTTATGAGGACAGACTGAGAGAGTTGGAGTTGTTCAGCTGAAGAAGAAAAGGCTCCTGAGAGATCTCACGGAAGCCTTTCAGTACTTGAAGGTGGCTTATAAAAAAGATGGGGACAGCCATTTTTAGCAGGCCCTGTTGTGGTAGGGCAAGGGGCAGTATTTTTAACAGAGAGTGATTTAGACTGGATATAAGAAAGAAGTTTTTTATGATGAGGATGGTGAAACCCTGGAACAGGTTGCCCAAAGAGGTGGTAGAGTCCTGGAAACGTTCAAGGCCGTTCTATGATTTATGTAAACTGTGGATCAGTATAATGTGAATTATTCTTTTTGAATGGTTTTGTGACCGTTTTGTTATGGCTGGGTTTTTTGTAATTTAGTTATTTTACCAGCCAACTTCACTTCAAATGAAAGGCAGTAATACTGAACTCTTGCGTATACGTGACGAAACTAGATGATGACAAACTTCAGTGGATCTCTTAGCTACTTCTGGATCTCTTCTCTCTCATCATACATGCACAGAAGGGGGCCAAGGGGAGAAAAAATTACCACTTACTGAGTAGCCTTGACTCAGCTTCAGTTAAGTTGTCGAATATAAATGAAACTTAACAGCATCTTAGATGTATAGAGATGTGTATCTCATTTGTTTCTATTACTGTTAAAAAGTTGAAAATTTGCATTTTCTAAAACTACTTCTCCCATTTACTACCTCTTCATACTCCTATTGTAATTCCTTTTAAATTGATGATACTGTATTGCAAAACACTTTCCAAAGATGGTCTTATAAAGCTTCTTCTCTGAAAAAAGACTTCTCATTTATTTCACTTTCAAAGTGATCCAGTGAGGCTGCTGTGTAGTTTGTTGGGATGTGGTCTGTCTTCCCATAAAACTAACAAGGTGAAACAATGAAAATGTGTGGAGTACACTTCTTCTTTCAGAGTTGTTCCTTTTTCCTTATTTCCACTCTAGTATATATGTCTGTCTTGTACTTTTTCAAAGTCTGTTTTCCCCTCTGTTAGTTATTGGTGGAAGACTCTCAAAGAGGAGGTTTTCCTCTTGCTGTCGCTGAAGCACCTGCAAAATTAATTCTGTCCTTTTACCTCTAGTGAGTCATACTTGTTCAGTGGAGAAATGCTTTTTCTCCAGAAACTGCAGTGAGCTTGCTGGTGTAAGTTTAAGGGCGCATGTAATCTGTATCCTGTGCTATAGTTCATTGTGTGTGTGTGCAGATATATGTAGATGCATATACTATATATTTCTGCATTTTCCTTAAATTGTCTGCAAACCTTTCCAGGTATGTGGGGTTTTGGTTTTTTTTTTGGTTTTGGGGGTTTTTTTTTTAGCCTCAGCTTGCTGACTAAGCTTTCACAAATTTTTTGCTTTGCCAGGAAAGCAAAGCCCCCTTTTTTTCTGACATTGTAAGTCCAGCTGCATTGTATATTTTTAATAAAAGGATTAGGTAGGAAGGATTACTCCACCCATGTTAATTGCGTTCCTCTAGTTGGGTGTAAATTATATTTCTACCCTCTGGGTGTGTAGTAATTGACCCAATTATTCATAGTCTCAGTGGCATATGCTACAGTACTTTTAGATCAGAATGTTATCTAACTTGATTGCTCTTTTCTTCTTCATATTCTATCTCTTGTATTACCTGGTGATCAGCTATGTTGGAAAGACAAAATTGAGATAAAGGTAGAAGTATATGCCAAATGTCCTTATTACTTTCTTACGCAGAAGGAAATTGAGAACGGAAGAAAAATCTGTTTCTTTTCCTGGAAAGATATTTTAAGTCATGTGTACAAGTCTACTTCGTGTGAATTAAATACCTCAAGTGTGTGTGTGTATATATATATTTTTATTTTTTAAAAAAAACAACTAGTGTTATCTTCCTATGACCAGTATTTTAAATGTGGAAATCTCTTTTTAGGAATGCTAATGACTGCCAACGAAGCCCCTAAAATGAATATCTATTATATACCAGTAAGTAATATAAGTTGTTGCTGCTATCACTGTTTTAAATCTCAATTGTTTGTTACCATTCAGATACTCGTGTTGGAAAATTACTTCTGCAAATTCACATCTGCATTCTCTGACTTTTCATGAAAAAGTAAATTTAAGCTAATGTAATTGATTAATGTAGCATACTGAATTACTAAAAAAACCCCAGCCTGTAATTTGCCTTTGGCTACTGTTTCCAAAACTGGCTAGTGGCAGTAGGAAAGTCAAGTGGAGATTTGCTGGAAAACATGGTTTTTTGATAGCTGATCAGAAAAACATTCCTAAATAGGGACTATATAGCTTACTTTCAAGCTACTAATTTTGCTTTGTTGTGAAATATTTCATTACTGTCTTTAATATCTGGTCTATAGTGATGTAGTCATATGTCACTAAATATTCATTCATCTCTGTTCTGATGCAGAAATGTTACTGTGTGGCTTCAGGTGTGGCTCTTGGCTATAAGTTCTGCTCGATATCCTGCTCCCATTACAGCTTTTCGCTTGAGGAGACCTTCCCTTGAAAGGCTTTATTGTAGATTTAACTATATGCTATATCTCTGTGGGCTGGTTTTAGGGAGATTGAACAGCAAGCCTTCTGGGGGTAGAGGATGGTGCAGAAAACTACACCTGCATTTGACTCTTGGTTTTGATTGTACTGTGCATTCACTAGGCTTTTTGGCATTTTAGAAGGTAAATAGTAGGATATATATGTGAAAGTTCCATGCGAAATAGCTGACCAGACTCTAAAAATACTTACACTGCTACTTAAGTCAACTTTTTCACATTCTGGACAAACTAGAAAGTCTGTGTTAAATTTGCAATATATTTAAACTGCTTTATTTAATTTTTTTTAATCAGTCAAGAAGTTTTAATTCAGACAATTTTAAATTAATTTTAATCTAGTTTTCTTTAGTATCTCTGGATCATGTCCATATCCATACCCACCCTCTGTATAATCTTGATTACATTTAAGACAGAAATTCACCATTTTGGGTTTTTTTGTTTTAGAATAGATGCTATATACCTATTGTATATACATGTCTAAACACAACTCTATACCCTTCTAAACAGATGTGTAGTCTGGTTATATTATATTATCTGGTTATATTATTAGATATTTGCATTTAAAGAAAGGTAAAATTTTATACGTGAATTCTTTGTGTTTCGTCCTGGTTTGAGCTGAACAGAACCAGTTTTGTTCAGTGATCATAGAACAATCATAGAATCATAGAACAGTTCAGGTTGGAAAAGACCCTTGGGATCATCGAGTGCAACCATTAACCCTACACTACAAGTTCACCCCTAAACCATATCACCCAAATTTTTTTTAATTTTCATCTCAGTCTCTTCTGAGAGGCTTCACTTTCTGAAATTAACAGCATGTTATGTCAGATTGTTCTTCGGATGTAAATTATCTGTTCACTAATTCAGCTCTAACCAACTTGCATTTTATTTATTATCCATACTTCAGATGACAGAGAGCAGAGGGGCAACAAATATTTTTGTATTTAGGACAAAATATTAGCTGTAGGGGAAAGCCAGACACTTTCTTCTTACTTACCTTGTCCTTTGTAAGGTTTAGAGAGTAGCTCTCTATGCTTTTTTTTTTTTTTTTTCATCTGTTGTCTTTTTAATTAAAATGGATTCGGGAAGACAAACTCCCGTATTTTCAAAGTCCAAGTTTTTAAAACTTGAATGGACTGGTTACTCAACTTAAGGAATTTAGATGGAAAAAACATTCCTTCTGTCACTAAGAGTAGGGTTCAACTTCTCTCTGAAATCTCTGCACTTAGATTTATTTTTTTTTTAATGCAGGTGTGCATGAGATATGAACTTTACAGCTATAGTACATTGGAGATGCATATCCAGCATTGCCCCTTAGCCAAAAAATTGTTTCACTGTCTTGATTGTCACCAGCAATGAATGTTTGTTGGAACTTGTTCTAGCCAGTATTGAGTATCTTGCACGTATTGTAAATCAAAATGAAAAATGCTTTCTTTACTCTCAAAAGTTGCACTCACAGAATCCTCTGTGAATACTGAAGTCACATTTCTGAAGTCAGACAAGTAATTTCTAGCTAAGAAATAGAAGCACTCTGTATTAGATCATGTATCACATTTAGCAGACAATATTGCAAACCTAAATATTGACTAATACTGCCCACTGCTTTTGCAGCGTGCAGGCTGCTCCAATAAAATTTAACACAAATCTTTCCTTAAACCATCTTACTTTGTCACTGTTCTCTGATTGTTGGTACCTGAGTCTGCCTCAACTTGTTTGGATCGTAACTTGTTATGTTTTACATTCGCAATGATGAAGGAGAATACAAATGGACCCAAATGATGAATGTTAAGCGTAATGAATTCTCTTTTTGAAATACTGTTGTGTATTTGAAAAATTAACATGTGATTCAAAGGCTACTGCCTAGATTAAATCAGCTTTTTGAATACACTAACCTTTTCCTGTTCACATTAAATGGCTTTGGGTTTGAAGGCTACCAAAAATATATTAAATCCTAGCATGACTTTTTGATTTTAGTCAACAATCTATAGTTCATTTCAAAACATTGAATGATTATTTTAGGCAATAAAATGTTAAAGGTAGTGAGAAGAAGATGCTTTGAAATAGAGACAGAAGTCTCACACTCCATTAACTGGCTTTTTTATTGTCTCTTGTACCTTTTCATGGGCAAGACTGAAGGGGCTGGCACAGATAATTTTGTATAGTTGAAGGGTTTCTTACTGCTTTTCCTAAAAAATCAAGGATGTAGCTCATTAAATCCCTTTTGTTCGGTTTTTTTTTTAATCTCCTTTTTAAATGAAAAAAATACAAAATGGAGAAGTTGTGTTAGCCTTAAGCTGCTCCAGGGCATTTGTTATTAAGGAAAACCTGATGTTATTAATGTGTTCATGTTACAGTTTTTGTTCCTTGATCTTTTGGTCTGGTTATTTGAACTCAGAGATGCACACCTGTCCTTTGGTTTCAGTAGATTATTAAGACATGGGCTTTTTCCATCCTTGGAGCATTGAGTAATTTCCTTGCACAGACGAAGATGAGTTTAGTTGCCTGTGTCTTTGGAGCAAAACTTTAAAGAACAAGTAATTTGCTGCATTACCTGATTTCTTTTCATAGTCTTGTTTTATGACTTTTTCTAAGAACATAGGATTCACTGTTTTCCCAACGAATAGCTTAATTTTCTGTTTGTTTGTTTACTTTGAGTTAGATGTGAAAACTACTTAAAATGTATCCTCTGTTTTTGAAATGTTGACAAGAACTGGGTTATAATTATTAAATTCCACAACAGAATAAATGCCTGGGGGCAATGCTGCTACTGTAAAAGACAGTTTTGTTTCAGCTCTTGTGTGAATAGAACCCGTTTGGTTGCCCTAGCCCCTCATTGCGTTGGAGTGCTAGTATTTACTGTCTATAAGGAATTAGCTATAAGGAATTAGAATCATAGTAGAACGGCTTGAGTTGGAAGGGACCTTAAAGACCATCTAGTTCTGACACCCCTGCCATGGGCAGGGACACCTCACACTAAACCAAGTTGCTCAAAGCCCCGTCCCGCCTGGCTTTGAGCACTGCCAGGGATGAGGCACCCACCACTTCCCTGGGCAACCTGTTCTGGTGCTTCACCACCCTCGTAGTAAAGAGCTTCTTCCAAATGTCTAATATAAATCTACCCTGCTCTAGTTTAAAACCATCACCTCTTGTCCTGTCACGACATGCCCTTGTAAACAGCCCCTCCCCAGCTCTCCTGTAGCCCCCTTCAGGTACTGGAAGGCCGCTGTGTCTCCCCAGAGTGTTCTCCAGGCTGAACAACCCTGCGGGAGACGTGCTCCAGCCTTCTGATCATCTTTGTGGCCCTCCTGGATTTTACGGTCATTGTCAAGCAGGACGGTTAAAATCTCAAATGTATGGGTGCTGTGCTCTGTCTAGTTTACAACATAAAAATTAAAAAAAAAAAAAAATTCTTCGGTGAAGAAATGCACAAAAGTTGGAATCTTGCAGAACAGGAGTGCTTATGTACAGGGATGGGCGCAGACAAACGCAGCACCTTCTGTCCTTCATTGAAGTTGGCCAGACAGTGCAGGAGTGTGCCCATGCTAACATCCCCTGCCTCTCCGCAGGTTTTATTAGCACGGGCACAGCGCAGTGCTAACACAGCTCCGCAGCTTGGGAACTGCAGCTGGCTCGTGTCCGGCCGGCTTGGAGTACGGTCTGACTGAGCTCATGTCTGACTGAATTATGTGTGTACATGTGCCCATTCTCTCCATTGTTAATGCCAAAGCTAAATTTCCATTGCAGAACCAAAAAAAATGACTCTCTTGAAGTTCAGGATTATAAAAGAGTTGACTGGGTATCATAATATTGTCTGAAAATGAAATGGCATCAGCATTTCCTGCAGAATTTTCAACGAGATAGGGATGACATTTGAGACGAGGAATGCCTGAGAGATGTATGTGTTTCTTAACACAGAAAAATTTAAAAATAGTCACCGCATGTGTTTCTTTTGTGTGTGAAGCTGTTGGTAGAGGGAAAAGAAGGTAATTTTTGGTTTACTAGAGAGGACAGGCAGGTTTGCTTTTAAATAGTAAGAAAATGCCTTATGTAGGAAGACAGTGCAGACAGTGAGTAAAAGCCAAATTGAATCTGACCGTTAAAATGAAGTGTTTGTTTTACATAGGTAACATCTTGAGTGGCTTAGCTTAGAGACTTTGTTTTTGTTTTATTTTGTTGAGCTTTAATGAGGGCAAGTGCCTCTGACTGGAATTGGGCCATTTGCCAGTAGTTTAATAGTTAACTTGCAGTTTATGCAAACATTTGGAACCTACTTCTTGCCAGCTGGCTTCCTGGTATATCACTTTGATGTTTGCCTCAGGAAGGTTGAAATGAAAGTTGTGTGTGCCTTGGGATACTTTTTAGACTACTGACTCAGAAACGTAAGTTGAATCAATAGCGCAACCGGGTCTGGGCCAAAGA